AAAGAAAACAGAAATCACCTTGATAATCAACAGGGAATAACAGATGGAAAAAACAATTAAAGTAATCATAAGCCAGCAATATTTACTTCACACAGCAAGTTTTTAATTGTCACTTAAAGACAATCCAACACAAGGGCATAATTTAATTCAATTCAACTTTTAACTAGGGATAGAAAGGCTGTTTTAAATTGTTCATCTCAAACTCAAAGACTATTACCTGTTTCTTAACTTGTCTGGCACTGAAGTATCTGAAGTAGAAATCTTAGAGCAAATGCTTTCTAGGAAACTGTCTTGGGAAATGTAGTGTCTATACCTTTCAAAGCATTCAGTGAAAAAATTAATCACTGAACATCCATAAGCAGTTCTCAAACAAGCAAACGGGAAATTTGGAAAGCTGTTCAATGGGGAATACAGATCTCCAGGTACAAACACAGCAACTCCAGGCAAACACCAGAAACATGTTGTGTTACAACATTGCACAAACTTATGGGGGTGCGTGAAATGTACATATTATTTTACTTCTGTAAAAGCATCTACAAAATCTTGCCTTGTGGACTTGAATAACTCATTTGAGATGTCTGGCCTCCAAATCCATTGCTGAGCCTTGCTGGAACTGTTTTGCAGCCAGATATACTGCTTAAAGCTGTTGTGAGTCTCTGCCTTCATGGCGGAAGAGCAGGCTCTCTGGGAAAAGGAATGGAATGAGAAATTTTTCTCTGCGGTGACTCAGCTGGAAAGAAACTGGTGGGGCACCAGGGTAAAAATTGAAAAATAGAGATGCTCTTCCCCTCCCCATTGCAGGACATAGGACCCATTGCTGGAGAGGGCTGAAGAGGAAGGAGGCTTCCAGCACCTCTAAAAAAGCAATTCCGTAAGAAAGTAACTTTCCCCAAGTATGAAATCTTGAAAGATGGGATAATCTTACAAATAATTGGTGGAGAAACACCCATTTCCCCTCATCTCAGAAAGCACTAAATGACAGTCAGGGGATTTTTTAAGCCTGGATTGGAACTAACTTTTGGTCAATTAAATTGAACCCAAAAGCTGCAATGGAGATGATGGATTTGTGATAACGGACTTTTGGAGAGATGATATTAGTGCCTGTTTAAGAGGATTTTTCTGTGTATGCCACAGGCAACGAAACTTGGCTGTGACTTTTTTTCTGAGCATTCTTACTAATGAATTAGGGACTTTACAGCCCTTTCACAAGACTTCCTTGTGACAGCTTCTGCAGGGTACCAGTCTCTCCCCTCTGCCTTCAATGCACGATCAGCGAGTGAAGAAGCTGTTGACTGCAACACCTCCAGTCTTTGAATGATGCTAAGCTTCAGACTGATGCCTTTCTTGAACTGACCACTGTGATGGAATAATCCACCCGCTGTCAGCAGAGACTGGGACATAGCTCAGAATTAATTGGCTGAAGCTCAAACTAGATAAACTCGAGATAATATTCATAGGTCAGAGGAAACAATTGAAAGAAACATCAAACACGACACCAGCACGCACAACTGGTGGAGTTTATCTGCCCCTTGTTTTAAACCCCAGCTCTCTCTGCCTGTCACAGGACATGCCGGGTTGAGAGCAGTTTTCATAAACAGTCTTTTCGAATGCCGTATGCCTCCGCTCTCTGGCCAGGTTCAAACTCCTTGTTTAATCTGCTTTGTACGAAGAAGTTTTGAGTGCATGAATCCTTGGAAAATATCTGTTCTTTGTGAAAATGGTGATATTGCTGTCTGTCTGCACTTCAGATATACTATGGTCTCTGCTTTCCCTCATTTGAAAAGAGCTGAGGGACTGAGTACCCACCACTTCAGTTCATGAGCATAGAGAGGCTATATTTGCATTGCAGAAGGGGGCCGCTTTTAGCAGTATATTTATTATTTGCAGGGAGGTATAATGTATAGACGTACATTAATGCTGTTTGTTCAGTGTATCCAAATTTCAGTAGTCATCTAAGACAGCTTTCCCAGGTGCCCTAAGCTGAAATGAACCTGTATTTTGTGGTTTGATTACTCCTTTCTCCCTTCCACCCAAAGAAATCTGTTGCAGTGTTGTTGATAGGACTTAATGGTATTGCAATGTATTTAAAAGCACTCTCTTACGGTTTTGCTACACAAAGAACACTTCTTTGAGATGCAGAGAAGCCCATTATCAGAGATCATCCTTTAGGGATTCTACATCCAGCAAAAATAGCTCTCAGTTTGTGGATTACTATGTGTTTTGATGTTCACGCTTTGCAATACAGAGTTTTATTTAGTAATCCACAATTGTCAGATGGAGCCTTTGCTGTTCCACTGGCCCAAATCAGTGTCAAAGGTCTTTCACAAGGCAGAGTAAGTACAAATAAAAAAAAATAATGACAATTCAGCAGCAATATGCTTATACCCCCCCGGGTTCACTTCCCATTTAGAAATAGTGAATACTTGCAAATTTTGAGCTGGTTTTATGAATTATTCACAACAGAAGAAGGATTCTGAGTTGCATTTGTACAATGAGAAAACACAGATGATAGATGGTTCCACATGTCCAATGAAAAATCAACCATCGCAGCTTGATTTTTGAATACTGATACCAAACTGCTAATGAACAATTTGCAGATCAGGAATTTTTAAGTGAATAATTTTAAACAAATAAATTTGAGAAAATCAGACAAGTGGTTCATCTGCTTCTTTTGGAGCAGCTAATTCGCCCATTCACTCCCTTTTGCAGCTCAGTTGCAGTGATTTGGTTCTCAAAGGACCAAAAAGAAAATGTAAATTGAAGTAAAAAGTGCGCTGGAAAAATGATAGCATGTTAACTCTGCCAATTCAGAGTGGCAGGGTGTGTGAGCAATAGGGTAGGAGAAGAGCATCTGTTAAACCCGCTAAAAATATAGTACCAGGTTCTCATAATCCTCATTGGGAAATGACTCTGAAGAAAAGAATGGGGCAGGCGGAAAAGCTTTATTCATTGAGAACACTAAAGGGCAAGTGATTTTCTAGAGTCAGTCAATAACTAAAACAACTCAAGGGTGGAGCGACTTTTTGGTGAGATCAGGAGCCTGCAAAAACAACATTTAAATCTGGGTTAAGAAAATAAAAATCTCTGGGTCAGTAAGAAGGCTTTGGGGTGCATTTTCTGCAGATAAGCATTGCCCCAGGACCCTGTGGTCCCCTTTCCCCCATAGCACTGTTTTATGCTGTATGTGCTCTGGATGCATGGTGGGGAGCTGAAGCCCCTTTCACCAGCCCACCTGTGGCTGCCTCTACATTGCCATTATACTCACAAACCACACCATTAAAAGGCAAACATGTAGCTAAATTTTGGGGATATATATTGACTTTTCATTCTTGTATAGCTCTTGTCCCTAGGGCTTTTTTTTGCATGAAGGACAGAATTTAGCTAATTTTTTGGTTTACTGTCTTTGGTGTTAATTAGATGTCATGCTACAAAGTACGCATTTCTAACAAGTGTGGAACTCGTTTTGAACTGTTAATGATGCAGCAGAGCTCCAAACTGTTTCAGATAATTCATTGTGCAAACTGTTGCTCCCGTCAGGAAGACACCTACTTCTAGTTGTGATAATATCCATCCTTCATCCAGCCCTTCTAGTCTTCAGAAGCTCATTAAAACAATAATTCCAATAACAGGTTGCTGGAAGGCCATATAATACTTCACGTGAGTCCTGTTAGTCCCGTTTTACAGATGGAGAAATCAGGGAAGAAAAGCTATGTCACTCAACCTAAACAGCAAGCGCAGTTTTCAGGGTTGGGCTATATCTTAGGAACTGGTGGTTTCCAATTTTGTGGTTCAATAATTAAACCAGGCTTTCCTCTTCTATTGAAACTAATCTGTGAAAAATGAGTGCCTTCCCTTTAAGAGGTTTCCAAGCATGTATGCAAAGAGGAATTTATGACCTACAACTTATGTAAAGAACTTCCTTTTCATAAATCAATTTATTAAAGCTCTGGAGAAGCTTCCATAGGCTCTGATCCAGCAGTACACTCAGACATGTCCATAATTTCAAACAAGTAAATTGTCCCATTGAAGTGCTTTCCTGGACTGGGGCCAAAGAAAGTGCAGTTCTCCCCTGAGTCAAGGTTCAGATGTAAAATGGGGAAAAATAATCTATCAGAAGTTTAATAAGTTACACAGTCATGGCAGAGCTCTGCCAGCCTTCCGCATTAATACCTCAAGCTAATAAGAAATGACCTCGGGGAGATAATTGCCTCCTTATTGATATGCTGTGTTGAAATGTTAAACCTCACCTAGAGGATGCGGTGTTGCTGGCTTTTCCTGAATTTGGCAGATCCCACATCCAGGTAATGTGAAACTTTGGAGGGGACATGCCTGTTACTAGCAACACTCCTGGGGTATGACCTCCCTTTTGTTCAATTACTACTCACTTCTAAGGATTATCCTCGTAGGAGGATTAAGTAAGCACTGTGATATTTCAAGGATTTGGAGTATTTTGTGAGGTTTTGTAATAGTGAAATCACTTTGACAAGAGGACTATTCACACCTTCTTCTGGACTCCTTGACTGGTAAATACTTGGGAGATGGTACTGAACATAGTGTTACGGACCACTGGCAGCCTGACCTGGAAACTACGCCAAGGACAGCTTCTCTAATCTGCTGAAAGACTTGTGTGTTGAGGTCATATGCGGAGCAGTCGGTGGTAACTGGACCTTGTGCTGGGCGGGAGTGTGGAACGAGATGTTAAATGCTAAAAGAAAGAGCGAGATCCTAGGGACAAGAAGGGAATGTGACTTAAATTAGCAGGGTGGAGGGTAACTCCTACACGTAACGACACAAAGCGGTCTTCTCCGCTCTGGCACACCGATTCCTGGGGATGCACGGTTACACAGCAAGACCTCCTTCGAGCTTTGCCTAGGGTTGTTACTCAGAATCAGAGTGACAGTTGTCATTTTGCAAACGGAAAGCTGCCAGACATAACAGCCCATTCTCATGCATTATAAAATCCAACACAAGGAGCCTCATAGCCCCAAAGTGGTACTTACATCTACAATAAGGAAGTCAAGCCAGCACCAGGCATTGGTGAAATATTTCTTGAAACCATAGGCCACCCATTTCAGGAGCATTTCCAAGACAAAGATGTAAGTGAATATTTTGTCAGCATATTCCAGCATGGTTTTTATGTTTTTTCGATCTTCAAGGTAAATATCTTCAAAAGCCTGGAAGTACAAAAGATTGATTAAAAGCTTTTCTGAAGCTGTGTTGGAAAGCATCAGTGCTGCACTGCAAGTCTGCAATATTATTTGACAGGATATCATGTACTGTCTGTGATTTCTGATGTATTTCAATGATACCACCAGAAAGAGTGCACAGGCACAAATAGGACTGACGCTAACCTAATAGAGATCTGTTCAGCTTTCCCTTATAATGGACACAGGCTCTCTCCAGCCTCTGCTGACTGTACTGGCTTTGAGTGTGAGAGCTCAAACACCCTAAATTTGGGAACATGAATCTGGGATGAGGGTGCCACCCCGACCTGCCTGAGGGCATCCTGCCTCAGCTCCTGTCGGCTGTGCCACCGCTGTCGGGGCACCTCAGATGTCTCAGGGCATAGGATGCCTGTCTTTGGGAGGCAAAATACGGCCCTTACATTTGTCAAACACATCTTATTGCTAACGATGACAAATTGGATTATTAACCTGCCTGTGTTATAGAGTACTGGAGTTCCCTGGCTTCTGTTCAGCCACCACATTTCAGGTAGCTACAGCTATCTGCCTCAAGAGATGCTCGTTATTATTCACTTAACAGAGCAATTAAGTTTTAAAGGTCAAGGTATCTATCTACCCATCTCATCTATCTCTCTAACAGATCTTATGCAGGGCGTCATCAAAGGACTTTCAGTATCTGTATCAAATACGAGCAACTTAATAACCCCTTTAAAATATTTAAGCTATAAAACAACATGCCTACTAAAATAAAACAAATAAAGTTGTCTCATAATTTAGCTTTCACTTTATAACGTACGTACACAAATAAAATGCAGAATCCTAGTGTCAGGGTTACGTATATGTGTCCCGTTTTGAGGCTTCCAAGTCGAGCAGCAGTTACGGTCTGCTTCCCCAGCTACTCTAGTGACTGTTATTACACAAGCTGCTCCCGTGTCCCTGTAACCTGGATAACCCAAGCTTTGATATATCACTCTCATCCCATTGTGTGACCCAAAGCACTTGGCAGCAAGAAACAACATTGTTTGAGAGGATCTGTGCTAATCATCTTAATTATCTGCATTTGCATATTTCAAGATCTGTAGCTACTTTCTGAGGAACTTCAAAAAGTTAGCAAACACCCAGTGCCTGGAGATACATGAAGTGTGTTACTTGTCACTCAAGCAGTCACACTGCTCTTTTGCCTGCCAGGGAACAGGAATTGAACTGACAAGAAAGCTTTGGCAGCCTGTGCCAAAGCTTGTCCATTTGTCCCCACACTTTGGGGTGATGTTTTCACTGCAACTCTGTCTCCTATCTTGCCTGCAAAAATGATATTTCAAGGGTGTGAAAGAGCTGTTGGAGAAAGCCACAGAAAACAATACACACAGAGACTGGAGTTTATCGCTTCTTGTATGGTCTCACTCACTTTGTCAGATGACTTGCTGTACTTTGCAATTACTGCAAAAATAACAACAAACTATTTAAAGTGATTTCCTCCTCGCCCTCCTTCGCTCTCCTTATTTTCTACTAACTTGTCAAAACTACATTGTGTTTTGTCTACTAAAAGCACACCATGAGTCAGGAAGCAGCTTAATAAGGGATGAAAAATACGCGTCCTGAATGCCTCAGGTGCACCGCACTTCTGCACGAACTATGGATATTACCCAAACGACAAAACTCTGGTACTTTACATTTTTTCATGGTGACAGCAGATGAAATCTTTGTGATGTAAAACGTCATTAAAGGTTATTTCTTCTGCTTTGCTTTGTGTGTTAAAAAAGAATTAATCAAGATACTTGCAGTGTTATCCACAATTACTGTTAAAACACAGGCTTCCTGTTTGGGTGCTTATGGTCTAAGAAGGGGTTTTGGATCTTTTGCAGTAAGCTATAGATATATTCTGATGGTTTAACTACCATACACAAATATATACTGGCTTTTAAACTCCCTTAAGAACTTAACATGTCCCAGGGATGTAGCCAGACAAGCTCAGTTTTTGGAAGAGTTCACCCCAGAATAACAGAAGAAAAAAGTTGTGTGTTGCCTCCAACATATCCAGTCTAAATACTGAAGCACAGTGCTGATATGTGAGAAAATGCAGCATAATTTGCCCTTAAACAGAATTGCAATGGCTAAATTGAAAATCACAAAAAGTAAATGAATGGATGCGATGAAAATTAAATGAGATTTATATTGCAGTGTTCAGTATCTGAGGCACTTTTAATTACATATGTAAGGAAGTGTATTCATCTAAAGTGTATTATAGCAAGCGACATGCCCCCTTTAAAATGTGTTAAAAAATTAACATGCTGATTCTCAAGCTGGTGCAAAAACTGTCAGACTCTATTGATTTCAGCAAAGCTATGACAATTTTCAGCAGCCTACTGTTTACACAAGCTTTTCAGCCTCTAACTTTTCATAATAAAATAAAATAAAATAAAATCCCTTGGGTGAAATTTCAGCCTATCCCTGGTGGACCTGGAGATTAGTCCATTCCTTTCCTTTTTGCATCAACATTTATGTGTTTCTACCTTCTTGTCTCCCTGTAGAGACTTTTGTTAAATGACATAAACCCAGTACTTCTGTGTTTTCCTCTTTTTTTAGGCCACTGATAATTTGTGTTGCTCTCCTCTGGAGTTTCTTCAATTAGCCCATGTCTTTCCCAAAGTGCAATGCCCAGAGCTGAAGCCAGTGCTCCAGCTGAGGCCTCCTTGATGCCAACTGGTGTGGAAGAACATGCTTATTTATATAGCCCAGTGGGGTGTTCCGCTTTCGTGCGGTGCTGTGATGTAGTTTACTCTATCATGTTTGTTGCCTGTTCTCTCTCCAGCTCTTTTTAGTAAATCTGCTACCTTACCAGTCATCCTGCACCATGGATTTCTGCCTGTGATTATTCCTGATGAGGTGAAACAGGCACCTTTCTAAGATGATGTTCCTTTTACTATTTAAGGCAGATTCATCTGTTCGGCTGAAGTTAATCCTGACCTCCAGAAACACATGGATAACCTGCCCAAACCTGGCACTGCCTGCAAATTTAGTGGGTGTATTTCTTACTCCATCATGGAGAAGATCAGCGACCACCAGACCAAAGCCTGGAGAAGTCTTGATATACAGCTGTGCTTTACGCCTGGAAAAAACCTGGGAGAAATCCTACCAACTTCATTCCTGACGTGTAAATGAGCAACACAAATGTATGCTGCCATTCCTATGAGGAGTTCAGGGCTGATAGCACAGAGAGGATAATCCCAGTATGCAGGGGATATCAGGATATGCAGCATCTCAGGAGGAGAGGATCCCTTATCAGAGTCCTGGGCAATGACCAACCAGCCTCCATATGTACACAATCATTCGGGTGGAAACAGGAGCTATCTGTGCAGGGAAAGTACAGTGGTTCAAGGTAGGGTGCATTCAAAACATGAGAGGTGCCCACTAGCTCCATGGATACCACTGATTCAGTGCCCCCTGCATCTTTTATGATTTTGCTTTGCTAGTTACAAAATATGATTAAAAAAAAAAAAAAAGGAAAAGAACAAAAGCCATCCCTGGAGCAAAACACAAGCCTCCAGATGGCAGCTACCATGGAGCACTTATGGGATGCTGAGGTAGTAACTCTGGGATACTTCCTCACACAGACTTCCTTAAGGATTTGCTTTTCAAAATGTGCGCACGTCATAATTTTATGTTACAACAGAAGAAAGTTCCCCTCCATATGGTAAAGCGGGTGAAATCAGAAAAGCTGAAGACCTGGTTTAGCCCCAAACATGCTTTGCTTTGAGAAATGATCAGTAAGGGCTTATAAGATCTTAAAGATCTTAGAGACAGCTAACTGGAGAACACCTTCTCTGAGACCCATGTCCACTTTCAAAGAGCTAGAAAATCCTGTTGCATTTACCAGGGCTCCACTGCTCAGCAGGATCATGAATATGATGAAAGTTTCAAACCAGTTGTGTTCGACGATTCTGTAGCAGGTTTTCCTCAGCCTCCACCAAATTTTGCCTGGAAATTTTGTGATGTCCACTGAACAGCATGGGAAGAAGCGCACACAAACTGAAAAGGAGCAAAATGAAAACAAAGCAGTTGTTAAATAAGCCCATTTAATGCTTAAAGCTGCAATAAGGAGCTGCTAAACAAATTTCTTCCAGCAATAAGCTGCTGCATGGAGTCTTTCCTCCCTTGTTTTTCTCACCAGTCTTCTGCTCTGCCTTCCATTTCCCCCTCTGACTCCTCTATTAAAAAACATTCAAAATCACTTAAAACTTGCCCCAGTGATTTCTCTCAGTGATTTTTATGATACAGTATATATCAGCCATGAGTCACCAGTGCCCTAGGTCAATCACATTGTGTTAGCTGAGCTCAGGCAGCACCCCTGATCAGCACTAGTGACTCCAGTAAGGTATTACCGAGAGTTTCCACATCCTTTTGAATGGAGGAAGGATACTTTCTTTGTACTATGATACGACTAGAATTACTGATTAAAAGTGGCAATCTGATGAAAGGGAGATGAGAGGAGGAGGTACTACAGTGCAGATGGGATGAATGTGCTGAAGAGACTCAAACAGCAAATGCAGGAGCAGATTTTGATCTCTCGGACTCTCATAAGCTTAAACAAGGCATTAGAACAACTTTGGAAATATATTTAGGCTGTTAAATCCCCTTTGATGTCAGCAGAAATTTAGATATCCAGTCCACAGCAGGTTCCCCACTGATGCTTCCTGGTACTTTGTGACCTTAGTGACAAATACTGTGTGCTAGTTAAATGCTTGTGTGATAGTTAGATGCTGTGGTTGCAATGGAGACTACACAAGGATTTCTGAGGGGCAAAACCATGGCCATTTTTAGTTTCCTTAGCAACATTAATTCATTATAGCAAAAGGATATTGTCGTTGGTAATAGACAGATCCATCTCTCCCATTTTAAAAAATGCCATATGCATTGCCTTGTGCTGGGTAAGAACCTAAAGTTGTGTGAGAGGACACACTGGTAGCCAGGACTTGTCCTTTTCCAGGCTGGGCATTCAGCATTATGTCAGATAATTTGACTCAAATTTCACAATATTTGCTGATGAGAATGATCCTCAGAAACTACTTTATTTTCAGAAAGAAAGCTTTTTACCCTACATTTAATCCATGTGTTGTATAGAAAGAGACTTAGCTATTGAGCTTTATCAGTCATCATGAGAAAAAAAGAAACCACAGGCCAACTGCTTCCGTAGCTGAAAGGTGGCCAAGGTCACTGACATGTCTTGAAGCTTACAATAACTGCCCAGAAGTGACAAGGGAGGACATCTCGCTGTGGTGATGTAATGCAATGTTATTGCAAGTAGAAATAATTTTTAGGCAAGGAAGCTCAGGAACGAAAGAAGGTGAGTGCCAAGGTTATGCAGACAGCAGATGCTGCTAATTCAAGGCGGCATAACTGAGGCGCTTGAGCTGCATGTGATACGCAAGGAGATCAAGTGCAACTCCTGGGATGCCAGGATTCCCAAGCAGCTGGAAGTGGGGCTGCATTGGCAGCAGGCTCTGCCAGGAGAAAGAGAGCTGCTAAGTCTACTGTGGTCCTACTGGAATTTTTGGTAAGTTTTTATTATCTCAGATCCCTGCTATGGGGCAGCAGAACTGTAGGATGTTTCATATGTGAACCATTCCCAGAGCTCCCCGTTCCCTCACCTTTCTGAGATTCTGATTAAGTGTAGGCTCTTGGCTGTAGGAAGTTTTGCTGTGGGACTAACAGGACAGTAAAACATTTATGCAAAGGGAACGGGACAGTGATGCAAGCAAATACCTGTTGTCTAAATGCCTGCATCACACAGACCCACACCAGTTCCCAGTTCCCCGCTGTATTCTGGAATTCAGAGAAATTCTGGGAGCAGTTGAAATACACTAAATTAATCAAACTCTTTGAGAATGACATAATGCTAGAAGACATAAATGTAAGATCCAGCTCTCTGCCTCTTTGTAGAACAGGTACCACTCCAGCAAAGGCAAGTTTTATGCTTCTAAGCAATTCAGTCCTAAATACAAAGAATCATGTCAAGGGATAGAAGGATATCATGTTAGTCACTACTTTTTGCAAAACCCGGTACACTGCTTATAGATGGTAATGCATGTATTTGGGTATATTTTAGGAAGTAGGTACCTGGAACAGACTTCAGGCACAAAATACTCATGGCACCAGGATCCCCGAGTGCCATGAGTAACACACTCACATGGCAGCTCTTCTTAGAGATGACCATGAAGTATAATCCCACCAACATGATATGACAGAGAGGTCTATTAGTTGCATCTCTTAGCAGTGCTGCCAGAAAACTCTTACACTGCTTCTCACCCCACAAACTGTATGGTCATTACAATCTTTCATATGTCTGGTCCACACTCTGTGCTGTTATGCAGGTACACTGGCCACCTCATTGTCAACTCAGCTGTGGATCAGGGAGAACAAAGACTTGGGCTCAGATCCCTGGTTCATCAAATGAACAGCCTAATGAGCAGGTTGTACACTACGTAAGTATGGATTACTCACTTCAAGCAGAAATCTCCCTTTGTACTGGAAGTAACCACAGCTTCTAGCAGAACAAACTTTACACAAGCCTACCTTGCTCCCATAAACAGTTTCAATTTGGAAAAAAACCCAGCTTTTTTCCAAATTAAAACATTTGTCCGGAAATTTTCCCCTCTTTTCTCCTAAGTTAGTCTCTTAGATGAATGCCTAGGCGCAGCTAGTAACAGGCATGACATGCTCTGTCATGCTCTTACAGAGTAGAAATGCTCTGTAAGTACCATTGGAAAAGGTTAGGATCTTCCAGGAAGCGGTTTTCCCCGCTGTAAGACAGCTGGATGAATCATTCCCTGGAGGAGTCTGCCTCTGTCTTTCTACTACACAGGGAGCCTACGTGATTACCTGAGCACAGGCGCAGCTAAAATTAGGGGATCACCTTCAAATTAAATACTAATGAGCAGGGCACTGTGAGTTCATTTGTGATGAAAAATACTTACAAAACGGTAAAAAGAGGCTATTGCTGATTCAGTCAGCTTCCATCTGATAATCTACAGGTACAGAGAGGTATTTTTAATGACAGAAAGCCAGCTAGAACCACTAATCTTTTTTTATGCTCTTTGATGGCTTTCATGCAATTTTCATCTGAAAAAAAAGTCCTAGTTACTGACAGTAATACCTTGAAAAATCCAAAATAGCTTCTCAGATGAGTCAGCCCAAAATCACAGCGCTATTAAATCCCATGCTTTTGATTGGGCCCAATTCAGAAATGTTTAGAGCAGATTCTGATACAATTACTAATGTCAAGTAGCATTTCCGTGAATAATCATGCTGGCTGCAATTCAGACGAAATGCTATATTTAACTATTCATAAATCAAACAGGAAAAAAAAGAAAATGGAAAGAAAAAAAGAAAACTGACCACAAAAGTCTTTTAATGAATTAATAAAGTTCTATTTCCATTTCAAATTTTCTGATTTCCCTCACTGACTGTTATTTCATGCCTGTGCTTTTCTGGACTCTCTCATAATGCTGCTAGCCTACTGTTCTGGTGACCTTGACCCAAGCTTAAATGCTGAATTAGAAGCTTCACATAACCCAACCAAAAAAGTTTACTTGACCTTGATCAGCATTCTAACAGTTGTTGGTTTGTTTTTTGATTTTTTTTTCTTTTTTTTTCATTTCTGTGAAATCAAAATATCAAAAATATTCCAATGTCTCTAAGGCATGACCTGGCAAGGGTCTGAGCAATCATAACTCCAGCTGGCTTCTATAAAAAGGCAGGTGGCCAGCAGAGCCCAGCTTCAGGTTTTGAAAGCTACTTTACCCACATGAAGACTATTCATTAACACCTTTTAGCACAGCAAGTGTCAAGGCAGGGATCAACCCTTTGGCATTTCTTATAACTGCATCACTCATACTGCCTTGTCTAGGAGATTTGTGGTATGCCCCTGAAATCGATGCTAGTAGGGATTGGGCTGTGTGGAAGAAGCTGACCACATTGTGATTTAGTCAGGACTTAGTTTTGCCGCTATAATTCATGTTGGGCTACATCTTTTTTGGGAGCAAACTGACTCATTTCCACCATGGCCTTTTGGGTAGTAGGTTGCTGCTCAACAGAAACACACAACAGCAGAAGTCCCCCTTAACGGGTTGAGTTGTTTGCTGGTAAATCAGTGAAGCTGTACTGAGCTGCGTCAGTGGCCTACTTGTCCAAGAACAATGCCTGTTTTCAATTCACATTTGAATATTACATACCATTTCTCATGAAACAGAGACCTATTTACCAAGAAAACTTTCCAAATGCATCAGTATACCATGATATTATTTACTTGTTGTTTGTTTTCATATCAAGCGAAATGTTCCCTGCAGTCACAGGGGTGCCCTATCGCACAACCACATTCTGCAGATTAAAATGTGTCCTGAATTGCAGTCTCTACTGCAGGTGTGACAGAGAAAGCTCTTACTTAAGCATCTGCCACAATGATAAACAAGTTAGGGAAAAAAAAACCCCACACCAGGAGGAATTTAATTTACAGTGCATTTTGTGTAAATATTCCTTTGGTTCCATATTCACATTTTCTAGCCCTGTGCATTATAATCATGGAGCTGTTAGACCTGATTGCATTACCTTGGTGCACTGGGAAAAAAAATTCTCTTTGTAAATGTGGGAGCTATAATGCAAAAACTTCCTTCTGCATGCATGAGAGCCAAGCCTATTGATTTCAGGCTTATGAGTAAAGACTTTACAAATCTACTGCTTGCTCACACAAATATAAATATACAATTAATTTACATAAAATTATTAAATATGTTTTGGATAGATTGGGCTGCTGATTCTTTTCAATAAATTGGGAAGACCAATTAATTTCTTCTAAACTGTGATCCAGTAAGTCTGGTATCTTGTGTTCAAACTGCAGTAATTTTGTGACCACCTTCACATAGAACTTCCCGATTATTGGGACACTCGTTTTTAGAACAAAACAATATTCTGCTTAGCTTGAATGCTGGTTATAGCATTGCTTGGTTTGACACAAAGAAAATACAGCTCCCTCAGCATAAACTCAAGCAGGCAGCTATTCATAACATGTTTTTAGTATATATATATCTGCCAAGCTGGGTTTCCAATGACTGGTCTGGCTAGCTGTGTATGCTCAAGCAAGAAAGCAAGCCTGGCTGCGGCCTCTTTGTAAGACCCCGGCAGTCTCCCCATGCTGGTGGGAATATGATCTCTGCAGACCCTCCTTATTTAACCCCTTTCTTGTCTTCTGGCCCCACTAACCCATGGGCATGCATGGCTGGGTTTCATACTGTGCAGCTCTAGGGCTAACATGGAAGAGATTCGACACCACTGTCACCAGCATTTGGGTACCTGAGACTCACACAGAGATTTGAGTCTTTTCTTGTGTGCTACAACTGGGTGCTGCCAAGACAACATCTGACATAGCCACAGTCTGCCAGGTGTTTTTACTTTTCCAAGGGCTTTGCAAGAGTACATTTCTTCTTTATCTGCTGCTACTCCCAAAACACATCCTGTCAGAGGTCGCCACAAATAATGGTGTGATGCCTTGAAGCAGAGGCAGTGGGCAGTCTGGTTTACCACCAATGTCAACTCTGCTTTGGGCAAGGGGGTGGACGAGTTGAAATCTAGAGGTCCTGTCCAACCTGAATTCATTTAATTCTGTCCATGCAATAGAACTGTAAGAGTCTTATGATGTCTGAAAATAGTATGCAACGGCCCTTCCTGATGGGAAACTACACTGTATCTCAGGTATTATGGCTAGAGGAAAGAGATACTTTAAAACTTGGGTTTGTTCCATGATTTTTTTCTGGCATAACAATTAACACATTTTGTTGCGCTTAGTTTTAGCTTCTAAACATCATCTGGTGGTAGTCCCTGTAGCTCAGTTTAGATTTGTTCAATTTAATGGTCTGTTTATCTTCTTCACTTTTTTATTTCTAAACAGCCGCTAGACGTGGTTGGGGAGGGCATGACGCAGATCCCGCCATTAATCAGAGCAACTTCACTTTAGTGCATGGCATTTTCCAGCTGCGATAATTGCTCCTGCACGGTCACATGAAAACTGGTTTTGAGCGTCCTCGGTGTCACGAGTTGCGATCAACTACGCGTTGAGCAAGGTACCTCATTCTTACACGACCATCTGACAATATTCCTTTGAAACCTTTGCCAGCGGGCTGTGGCCGGGGAATTACGCTTAAGGACTTGGTGGAAACTTTCTCCTATTAGGGTCTGGGAGAGAGGAGCGTGCTGGGGCCAGGGGGCTCTCTTTGGATGACCTTCTGTGAGACATGGAAGATAATGTCCAAACAGATAGCAATTTTTGATGCAGCGAACACATACCAATGGAGGTAACAGGACTGGAGTGTTGCAAGGCATCTGGAGGAAAAAGTACCCAAATAGCTGGCATTGCCTAGATGTTGCTTTCCCATCAACAGGCAACAAGAATGATCTCTTCATTTCTATCAGTTTTTTTCCCAGCAATACTTGCTAGCTGCCAGGGCTGTGACCCTACCTTGGCTTCACATTTCCTGACCCAAGAATATTCCCTGTTGACCCTAATCAAAGCTATTTTGAGATGATAACGAATTAACAAGTCTCCCCAAGAAAAACGACCTATGGCTTATCTGGGTCACCTAACTCCCGGAAAACTGTGACCTCAGCAAACTTTCAGCAACTATTTCAAGAACATGCATTATCTTCATTGCCTTTGTTATCTGAAAAAGGGGGCTGAATCTGGAACATATTTGTTCAGGACATAACCTATGCTTGATGTGTTTAGAAATGTCATAGTTTGAATTTAGATAGCTAAGAACTTAACCCTTCCCCTCTCACTCTTCCTCTTCATCTCACCTAACTTCCTTCTTTCACAAATATTATCTTGTCATTCTCCAAAATATACCAAACATTGTTGTATCTCTCTGTTACAAGCCAGTAAAGGCAACACTAGATAGACTTGCCCAGCGCATGCCCTTCAATACTTCCATTTTAGTACTTTATAACCTTGTCAGATCTTAGCTAACTAGACTGTTGTTTGTTGGCTTGCTCATTTTTTAGCTAGACTGAAATGATAACTGCATGAGGTTTGATTGCAATGGTAAGTTTGGGTAAAAATATTGGAAGGCATTCAACAGAAGAAGGTTATAGGAAAACACTTTGTTTTCCAGCATAAATAAAACCAAATGGTAATATCTTTGCAGTAAGAATAATTTGGACTTTCAGTTTATGGCACTTTGACTTGTAATTTTATGAGTGAACATTCACATGTTGTTAATCCATTTTTGCCAAATCCGTGAGGAAAGCGATCACACTCAGCACACATAGTAGCCGCTGAAAAATCTGCATGGATATGTGCTGCACAGAAAAGCTGAGCAGATACGTTGAGGAGGGCGTCGCCTTCAACTGCAATCCCCAGTGCCCTTGGACACCCTGCACTGGGCCCTGGCCTGGGAGAAACTTGTCCTCCAATTCCCATTCAAAGTCCAAGGCTCAGATGGTGTACCCTGCGAGAGGAGGAATACACCCTGACTTGAAGAGGCACTGGTGAGTAACTAGGGGAGTTGAGGAATAAAAGGTAAAAGCCAGGAGCAGGAACACTCAGGAGGAGCGGAGCAGGGGCCAGCAGGGTGGATATAACCCAGGACAAGCTTGGGTTTCAGTTCACAATGCCTTCGTTTCTACATTTCTCTGCTGCTAGGATGATAAGTGGGCTTCAAAACTGCCTTAAAGCCTCCAGTGGTCCACTTAGAAGAGCGCCGTTTTCTACCCTGTGTCCAATTGAGAGCAATGGAGAAGATCTGACAAACTAGGTTGGTACTGATGTGGTCCTGCACAATGGAATTTCAGGCAGTTCTGGTTATCTTAAGACAGAGCAAATTACAGAGTGCTGCTGCTCTGGGAATGAATCAGGGCTGTGCACTGAATGAAGTGATGGGTTGTGTGATGTCCGCCTTATTTCTTTTAAAAACCGAAAGGTGATCATGGCAAACCACAGTTTCAGAGTTTGTAAACTGGCATCTGACCAGCGCTGGTCTTATAGCACTGGCTTGTTTAAGCAATTATAATATAATTTCTCACTTTACAGTGCACAACATAAGTTGCTGCTCACTAGCCTCATTAAGAAATATATTGTGAAAGAATGAAAACACCAGATCTAATTTCTAAATCTTATTGTATGGGCCAGAATAGTTACACCATGCTTTCTTCCATCAACTGCATTAATTTTTGGTTACTGCTTTTAAGTAGAGCTGCCAAAAAAATGTTTAGATCCTAGGGACATTTGTAAGCCCTGCAGGGCTCCCTTACCTCATTCAATCATCTTTCTCACAGATATAGAGATGCACATTTTTGCTGACTTCAGGGGCATTCATATACCCAGCAAATCATCTCTGTCTGATCCCATCTGAGCAGCTCTGTTTTTATTTATAATAATCCTTGAGTTTTCAAGGGAATTTACTAACATTCAGCTAACCCTATTTTTCCTAACCCAGATTTAAAAGAAAATGAATCTGACTGAGATAACATTTGAAATAGAACTCACTCTGAGAAGAAAAATCTTAGGATGTTATGTACCTTATAGATTTACTTTAAAATAGATCTTCTGATGTAACTGGGTTTTAAACCTGTGTTTTGGAGCAGGCTGGTATTAAAAAATTAATAAAATGATGGCATATTTTGGTATTAAAAGTTATATAAATGTGATTTTTTTTTTGTTATCTAAAGTAATTAAGCAAAATACCCTTTACATAGCACATGGTCAGATGAAAGTTACTGGACATGCTAATATTAACGCCCTTTAAAATAAGTTGAAAAGGGTCCCTGGGGCTCATGAACTCTCCAGACAGTTTCTATTAACAGCCTATATACATTTAAGCAACAGAAACATCCTGATCTGGTCAGTTCTCTACCAAATTTGATCATGCACACATATTGGAAGGAAAAAGTCTTCATTGGCCAAGTTAGAAAAATAAACATTTAGAAAACCCCCAACACTTTATGGCAGAAATTATGATGAAAAAAAACCCTAGCACCTTAGAGGCTGCATAGCCTTTTAGAGCATGCTTTTGGCTTATCTCATCTTGGAAATCCAAAGACGAATCATAGAATCAGAGAATGGTTTGGGAATGGTTTGGGTTGGAAGAGACCTTAAAGATCATCTCATTCCAACCCCCCTGTCATGGGCAGGGACACCTTCCACTAGACCAGGTTGCTCCCAGTCCCATCCAACCTGGCCTTGAGCACTGCCAGGGAGGGGGCAGCCACAGCTTCTCTGGGCAACCTGTGCCAGTCTATCACCACCCTCACAGGGAAGAATTTCTTCCTTATATCTAATCTAAATTCACCCTCTTTCAGTATAAAACTGTTACCCCTTGTCCTATCCCTACCGTCCCTAATAAAGAGCACCTCCCCACCTTTCCTAAGCCCCCTTTAAGTACTGGATGGCCACTATAAGTTCTCCCCAGAGCCTTCTCTTCTCCAGGCTGAACAACCCCAACTCCCCCAGCCCTTCCTCATATAACAAGTGATTTTAAGTGTGTGTTTGGAGCATTACAGTAGCTAAGAAATGAAGTGCATCCAGTTAAATACTACTTTAGGCAGCTAGAGCAACGTAGTGTGAAGGTGAAGATGTTCACTAAGAGAAGAGGAGGTTTCTTGCCCCAGCATTGCAGTGAAATATGCAGGCCCTTACCTTCAGGGAAGCAATCTTCAGGCTCCATCAGCTCCTCAGCAAACTCGGGGATCTGTTCCAGCAGTTCTGCAGGATTTGTCAAATCCACTGTGCTGCCTTCAGAAAGACTGATTTCATCAAGCTTGTTGTCAACAAGAGCAAAGATGAGGAAAACAAATTGATCAATTGCCCCAAAAGAAGTAGCTGAGTTTTTATTCCACTAACCAATATCCCCGCTAAAGCCACCACAACAGAGACACTGCCATGCACTTCACATGGTGCCCACTCCTCAAGTGACAGCTCTGCCTACGCTGCAGTGAGCTAACAGTTGACCAGTCAACAAGAACAACAAAAAATTAGCATGTAAAACTTACTTTTCAAAACAGAAGGGAAGTAAACTGTAGAAAGATAGTGAACAACCATTGAATATTAATGGTAGGTGGAATGACAGAACCACTCATGATTTTAAGGCTTATATGTCCTGAAGGCTCATACCTTCAAATGGGGGAGACCAGAAGTGGGACCTCGCTCCTGAAATGCTGAAGGATTAATTTGATGACTGTGTTGTGTTCCTGCCTCTGGGGCCTCATTCTTGAGCCTCCTCACCCACAGCTGATGGGTGAAACCTGTACCTTGTCAGTCAGGACCGTGCTCTGCTCCCTGCTGCCATAGCTTCTCCTCTGAGACAAGCAGAAGTCCCTCTGTCACCAGGGTCCAGTCACACGATGCTACAGGCACACATGTGTAAGAGGGCTCTTCCACCTGCCTCATCGTGGGCCTAACTTGATCCCATCACCTGATGTGGCCCCTCGCCTTTTGGTCACACACTTCAGATCTCAAGGTGACATAAAAGGAGGGACACATGGCTTTTGAAAGCCTTTCAGAGGCTCTGTTTCTTGCCTGAAATATTTGACACCACCATCTTAGACACGTTGTTTAAATTCAGTGTTTGTCAAATCCTCCTCTGCAAAATGGGGACAAGAATATTCCCACTCCCTGAAGCATTGGTTATCTTGTCTATTTAGAGCAGGAACTCTCAAGTAGATCTAGGTAAAAATTTCTGGGGAATATATTATTTTAAAAATTTGTTTTAGAGGCTGAATTTGCTATTAAAAGAGATACAATACATGATTAAATAAGTCACCCAAATATGAAATAAGAATTTCATTTCAAGTCAAAACTTTCTTTTAACAGAATCAAAACATTTTCCTTAGAAGAAAACAGGATTTTTTTCCCCATATTTTATTTTACTTGTCAAAATAAAATATTTCTATTTTTTGTTAATCCAAAATTGTATTTTAGTTCTCTATTCAATTTGGCCACTGAAGTGAAAGATCCAAGATCTGCCCAGCCCTGATCACAGGTTTTTTTCTGACTGTATTAGAGCGCTATCTGGCATAACTGGGCAACACCAAAGTTTGTTTCTTCTACAGGTCATATCAATGCAAAACAGCTGTAAGCAGGAGTCAGGAGAAGTGTGTTTTGTTACCTGTCTTATTCTGTTTCCTGAGCACCTATTGAAATCTTTTTGTGCTTTATCTTGCAATACTATTGTCTCCATTTAAAAAAATGGGGACAATAATACTTACCCATGCTTTTAAACAACCTGTAAGATAGTTATATGAGAGATGGCATATGCACAGAAAATACTATTTTCATGAGGATGATGGTGCTGGAGTTAGAGAATAGGTACAGCTTTATATATTTATTATTAATGTGAAAATGGGCCCTCTGTTTTCCGGTATACACAGTCAATGCAAAATTTATAGCTGAATTCAGAGAAATGCTGAACCTGGGGTAAAATGGGCAAGACTGAACATTCCAGCAATGCTTGCAAGCGGGGATGGAAGCTACTCGTTTGCAATTAGCTGCAGCATCCAGAAGGTCATACTCTTGGCTAGGGTTTTTAATGCTCTACTCGAAAGGACTGCAAACAATCGAGAAGAGACCTTTTAAAAAGAGAGTCAGAACAGAAAGCACAGGTCAAAGACATAGATAAAGCCTCTAAAAAATCCATATTCAGAATGCAGCTGTCATACAGAGCCCATTTTCTACAGACTACCAACCGTATATGATGGTGGAAAATTGTCATACCAAGTTTTAGCACAGTCAGAAATTTCTGATACGGTTCATTAGGGAATGCATTTAGTCATTATCTGTTCTGTTATGAAGACGTCAAAACACAGATCACTGAAATAATCCTAAATCATATACAGCTGTAGGATGTAGAAAAAAAGGGTTCCAATGAGAAAAGAAGCCTTGTTGGAGATACTTTTTATCAATAGACAGAAATCAGAGAAAACTGTAAGAAGAACGTCAGCTTGATAGCATTGTCAATGAGAGAGCTGGATTTAGCAGAGACAGGTTAGGAAATTCACAAAACACAATAGGGTGCAATTATAATAGACTACAAGGAAAACATCTTAAAGAATCAAGAATTCTCAAGAGTTATTTATCAGGAGGAGTTTTCAGAAAATATTAGAATCCATCAGCGTCAAAGGGAGATGGGGCACATGCAAGACAAAACATACAGGATTTCTTCTGAAAATCCTTCAGGAAGAAGTGGCAGTGATTCAGAAAACACTAGACAAAGGTCTGAGGGTCCGAATTGGGATTAGAAAAAGAAGGAACCATACATGTGAGAGAGGAGGGAAAGATTAGGAAAGCTTGTAGGAAAGAAGTAAAGGTTAGTCTTTGCCAGAAAGGTTAAAGGGATTAAGAAGGTTTTCATGAACTCAGTAATGGAAAGAAAAGAGCTAGAGACATAATAACAATTGATGAGGGAGATGTAACTAATCAAAATTCAGTTGCCTAAGAAAATAAACTCTGTTAAAAAAGAATCCAACAAGGGGATCAATAAAAAGAGGGGGGAGAGCCTCTTAGAATGAATACAAATGTAAGTAGAGAAATATCTAGAAAGCCTGAAACATATGCAAATCAGCAGGTCCAGACAGGGCACATTGTAGGGCATAAAGGGATCCGATACACCAAGTTAACACACCATTAGCGATCAATAGCGAATGCTCATGGAAAACTGGAAACAGCCCAGGAGAGCAGCAATAAGTAAACCCAATACTGAGCTCAGAGAAGAGTAAAAGGGAATAATCATGGGAATCACAGATCACTAAACACTTGCAGTAGCCTGTGATTAAAATGAACAAAATAAAGACTCAGAGGAGAAGAGTTCTTTCTCAGAGTGAAATGTCATAGAGATGTAAAGGCAGTGAGGTGGTGCTCCTGTACGCTAAGGGTACAGTGCACAAGCGTGGTGCAAAGAGGCCAAAAGAAGGCAAAGGACAAATACAAAATCTCCTCTTTCTTTCTTGGAATAAGCGAGTGGAGGAGGAGTACCAGGCAGAGACAACGGGATCTGTCAGAAACCCCTTTGGGAGACCTCCCACTAGTGCATGAATTCCTGCTTCAGAGCGTAGTTTTTAGTGTGTTTCTGGGTGGACTGGCTGTTTAAGTACCTTGACAGGGCTTCCACACCCCCTGCCCGTGTCTATAATAGTGGCAAACTGATGTGAATGGGTTTTTCAAAAAGCTTTTAGCAGTGAGATGCTGAAATCTCATTGAAAGTTGATGTTTGCTCAAGGCTTAAATCTCTTATCTCCCATCCTCTCTCCCTCGTCTCTGAAGATCACAGCCTCAATCTAACAAATATACGTATGATATATAAACCTTAAGAAAATATCTGGATGTCTATTATAGATAAATCTACTTTTAAAATAAATTGTAATTGGCTTGGATTCACCTGTTGATGCATGGACAAAAGCCATCCTAAGGACCCAAATATAACAAAACTTTGTCTTCAGATGAGGAGATCTGTAGGGAGATGTGTAGGGATTAGAGTCAGCATTATCTTCACTAAAGATATAGAAGATGTACTGACGGATATATTCCTCCTGTTAGCCGATAACAATAAATTGGAGAGAGTATTGAAACTGAGGAAGCAGAGAGGAAAAGAGAAGTAAAACATGGAGAGACTAGCAAAATTGGACTTGACTCAAAACAGTACAAATAAGAGAGTTTCAGGAAAAATTAAATGGAAATCCTGGAAACCTGAAGTAATATTAAAAAATTAGACATGATTTTGCAGTGGGATATAACAGCACAGAAAACCTATATGAGAGCACCACGTCTGATAACAAGATACTATCTCCTCTCCTTTCAGTTCTGTGGCAGTTGTATTTGGAATATTGTGCTTACTTCTTGGCAAACAACTCCAAAAAGGAACAACTGAGGGAGTTGAAAGAAAGAGGTTAAAAAAGCCAGATAAATGGCACAGAGATATTAATTTACAAGAAATAATGAAGTGAAAGAACAATGGCATATGACTTCAGAGGCTAAGCCAAAGACAAAAGGAAGCAAACACCAGTCTATTAAATTAAGTGATACTGATTCATGAAAAGAGAATGATGGATAAAATTTGTAAAAGAGAGTAATGAAATCTTACTTTGAAAGGGAAAAAAGAAAAAAAAAGGGGGCTGGTTATTAAGGCCATATACCCAGCCATGAGATTTTTTCTAAGTGAGTGAATTGTTCCCTTTGGTGAATGAAGAAATCTAAGTTGTGTGATACATTGAAAGGTAGATTCCACCTAGCTGTACAAAATATTTTATGGGGCAATGTTTCGGCAGATAAAACAACTAGTTTGTTCTCTGTGGTCTTATCCACCTATGACATTGATGATTTTATTTCTATGGTGTCTTTCTGATGATTTATATAGGATTAATTTTTAATCATATAATGTATCCTTTACCAACATCAACAGTGTTTTATTCAGAATACATTCAATGCTTCCTGTTATTGACTGAATCACTCAAAGCCTGGCCTCTTGGGCATACCAAATCTGTTACTTCCTCGCAGTTGCTGGCTTTATTTGGCTAGTCACAAGTTCTTGGGACATTCATCAAAAAGGTGATTAGCATGTCCTTGTGTGCCAGCACAAAGATTACTTCTGAATAGGAGGACTGTAAGTATGTAACGTCCATGCAAGATCTGGCCTTCAAAAATAGCATCCTTTGGGCTTTGCTCTTTCATGTTGGCATTCATAGCCTCATGTGAACTTCCGTTTGATTTCAAGTCATCCCTGGATTATTGCCATATTCCTCCACCTCTTTCTAAGCAGCCACAAATAGA